GAACCGACCCGCGTGGGTTCGGCCCGTGAGCCCCTCTGCCCTCCGTGCATCCTGCCCCCCCCGGGCCCGGGGCTGCATTTTGGGCTGACACCCGCACGGAGGCAAAGCCGATCCCTCAGCCCAGGCTGGGGCATTCGAGTGCTGGTCTGGGCTCTGGAGCTTGTTGCTGGACATCGAGTTCTTTGCCTGTGATTTGCCATCTCAAGACAGAGTTTTACTTTTCTTTGTCAATAACAGCAGCTGAAAGGAGAGGAAAAAGTAGCAATTATTTCTACTGGGACACACTGGAGCTACAGGCAGATATAGGGGTGTCCGAAAGCAACTGTGGGCACAATAACCAGCAAACCTGGTGACGGCTGTCTCAGCGCCCCAAAGAGATCAAACGGCTCTGGCACTTGGGAAGGGACCTTCCGCTCAGCCACGCTTTGCCGTTCGGACACGTGGCTTTTTTGTGCCAGGCTGGGAGCTGAGGGGAGAGCCGCCTGCAGAACCTGCTGGCATGCAGATGTTTCCAGCTGCTCTTAGCCTGGTGCATGGCTGTGTGTGGCTGGTGGTGCCGGCGGTGCCTGGATCCTCAGCGGCCAGAGCGCTCCTCTCCACCCAGCCAAGCCGTACTCGGAGCCATGGCTCTTGCACACGTCTGTGTCAGAACACAAAATACTCCTGCCCGACGTGTCTGGCTTAGCCCACTGGTACTACAGACCCTTTCCCTTGGGTGCAGATCAGTGCCCGCCCAAAGCCAGGCCAGAGCTCTGCGCCCTGGAGAGCGTGGGCTGACCGCCCTGCGGAGAGCGATGGAATACGTCAGCCTGAGCGGGGTCTGCTCCGCTCCCCCCTCCGGCTCCTTAGAAACAAGCCCTGAATTAAAGCCCCCTCTTGCCTTCGTTGTGGCTGGTGTGCAGCAAGCTGGTGGTGGGGCTGGGCAGGGGGATCCACCTTGGTTTAGAGAGGGATAAAAATGGTATTTAAAACACTGTATAAACCCTACTCCCTAAGGCTGCATCTCTGGTGGAAATTAGTGCAGCTTTACGGGCCAAAGCGGTGATTCCTTCTGGTATGGAAAGTTAATTGGACATTCCTTGGCAGACGTGTGCTTGCTTGTAGAGTGGCAAGGCTGAACGAGCCTCGACACCCAGCCAGCTTAAGAGACCTTCAGAAAGACCAAACAGGTGATGCTCTTCCAGCAGCGGTGAGAGAGCACTTTGGTTGTGACAACCTGACATGTTCACGGCACGATCGAAAACAGGATGTGGGCGGCAGGCGGGGCGCGACCCCCGCGGCACCCAGCTGCGCGGGGAGGGAGCTCACGGGCAACCCAGAGAGTTTGGAGGGCAAAACGAAGGAGAAAGCTGCTTAAAATGGCGTTTCTGCTTGCAGGAGTGATCTGGAAGGGCCCCTGCGCTCCCGCCGGGGCCGGGGCAGGAGGCAGCCACATGGGCATACTGGCACCGCCGTGCGGGGCGCGGGCCATGGGCTGGGCTCTGCGTTCCGGACTGTCCGCAGAGGAGAGGCTCTCACCCATCGCGGGGTCGCTCCAGGGTTTTTTGATTTCCTAACAGCCCAGATTGCCTTTTCTCCTCTTATCCCCTGCGGATGAAGGGGCAACTCCAGTTTACTGCAGAAAGAAGTGCGGCTGCTCTGAAGAATGCAATTCTTTTTTGAACTCAAAACTATAATTGGTTTGCTGAATGCAACCAAGCCTGACCTGGTGTGGGCTCTTAACCGCTTAACTGTGCCAAGCCTGGTGCCCAGAGCCAGGCAGCCCCTCCCTGAGCTCAAACTCCTGCATCAGCTGTGGGCAACACACTTTTGTGACGCTCAGTCTCTAGGCTGGCAGTGAATGGGCAGAAAACCCACTCGAGGTGAGGGCAATGTTCAGGTCCTAAATCTTTTGGCTTGATTTAGCACCATGAACTGAGACATCTCCAGTGCAGAGCTGGCAGAGCTGATTTGCTGTAGCCATTCTGGCTGTGCCCCGTGACGGGGCAGGGGTGGGGGGGGCATTGGTGGCTGCTGGGGCGCAGGCACGGCCCCCTGCTAAAGGTGCTG